GGGGCAGGAACGGGTCGGGCCGGACTGGCGACGCGCACCACTGGCTTTGTGCGAGAAGCAGGAACGGGCCGGGCTGGCGACGCGCACCACTGGCTTGGTGCGAGGAGCAGGAACAGGCCGGGCCGGACTGGCGACGCGCACCACTGGCTTGGTGCGAGGAGCAGGAACAGGCCGGGCCGGACTGGCGACGCGCACCACTGGCTTGGTGCGAGGAGCAGGAACAGGCCGGGCTGGACTGGCGACGCGCACCACTGACTTGGTGCGAGGAGCAGGAACAGGCCGGGCCGGGCTGTGGAGGCGGACTGGAGGTCTGGAGCAGAGAGCTGGCACAACCCGTCCTGGCTGGATGCCTACTTCCGCACAGTATGTGTGAGGCATCAGCACAGTACGCACTGGGCTGTGCACGCACACTGGCGATACAGTTCGTAGAACTGGCGCAGGATATGCGGGACCGAGGAGGCTTATTGGAGACCAGGAGCGTTGAGCCGGCACACCCCGTCCTGGCTGGATGCCCATCTTCGCACGGCACGTGCGTGGTGCAAGCACAGGACGTACAGGACTGTGCCGGCGCACTGGCAACACAGTACGTAGCTCCGCATAACACGGAGCCTGCCCAGTCATACGCTTCCTCACGTGAGTACGGGGAGTTGGCTCTGCTCTGACACTAGGCTCCGCCAACCACCCCGTGTGTCCCCCCCAAAAATGTTTATTGGGGCTGCTTCTCGGGCTTCCTCCTCGACCGGCCTCCTCCGTGTTGCCGTTGCTCCTCTCCTGCCTGGGCATTTACCTTAGCCCATGGTCCTCTCCCCGCAAATATCTCTTCCCATGACCACAAATTGCCCACCTGTGACATGGCTACTCGCTCCGCCTGGGCACGCTGCTTGGTCCTCGTTTGGTGGGATCTTCTGTCACGTTCGTCGAATGACGGGACAGACCAAGGCGCAGCGTGATATACGTACAATTGTATTTACACTGAATAAACACCATGACAAAACAATAAACGAAATGAAACGTGAAGTCCAAGGTAGTACACAAAACAAACCTTACACGGAACAAGATCCCACAACTACACAGTGCCAATAGGCTGCCTAAGTATGGTCCCCAATCAGAGACAACGAGCGAAAGCTGCCTCTGATTGGGAACCACACCGGCCAACATAGAAATACACATACTAGAACCCACATAGAAAATACTACATAACAAAGAATATACACACCCTGACTCAACATATACGAGTCCCCTGAGTCAGGGCATGACACATAAAGAGAAATAATGAAGAGAAATTATAGCTAAAACGTATCGGTGCTCATCGGCCATTGGATATAAACATTACACAACAAGTTGGAAATCACAAATTCAACAATGAGTGGTTTGGAAGGAATTGATGTCAGTGGCTAACTGCAAGCATTACAACTGGGAAGTCGGGAATAAAAAAGCTCCGACTGGGAAAATACGTTTTGAACAGTCATCCTACTCGAAATTGTAAATCCGGCCTCTTTCTCTTTCTTTGATGACAAAATTTCCCCACGAAAGCCATGCCACCTTCTTGTTCAAGTGTCCCCTGTAGCTCAGTTGGTAGAGCCTGGCGCTTGCAACGCCAGGGTTGTGGGTTTGTTTACCACGGGAGGCCAGTATGAAAATGTATGCACTCACTAACTGTAAGTCGCTCTGGATAAGAGTGTCTGCTAAATGACTAAAATGTAAATGTAAAGTGAGCACAGCACAACAAGGTGAGTCCAAAAATTTATTTTATGCTGCTGCATAAATTATGTAATATGCCAGGGAGATATGTATACTGTAGCTAAGAAAGTAATACTAAGTGTATGTTTTTGTAGTAAGCTGTGCCTCACCCTAATAATTTGGTCAATTTTCCACTCATAATTTAGCCTACTGTTCTGACTTGGTGGTGCACATGTAGCCTATAGCCTATTTTAGAGAAATGTCATCATCAAATATTTTAAGAGCTTTCATTTTCTGCTTATATGCCCCCTTTATTTATCGTATGGTTCTGACTTGGTGTACAGGGAGAATACTGTAAGAACGGCCCATGTTCTGAATTCTGTCACTGTACATTTCAAAAGTGCTGAACAAATAGTTATATTGACTACATCCATCCTAGCTCGCTCATTAATGTCTTAATCGTAATTATGGATTGCCTCTTATACGCTCATCGTCCCCTTATGCCATAGTTTGTACATCTCAATTGTCAGTAGAAACCACATTTGTTTAAGCAAGTCAGCCATATCAGATATGTTTTTTTTAAAGGCAGTAAAGGAGGCTGAATTAACTGTTTAGCTGCCAGGCAAGTCTCCGCTGATAGCCATGTGTAGCAGTGGTAAGGTTTTGGGACTGCTGTTGGGACTCTGATGTTGGGACAGCTTTAAGTAGGCCCTAACAGTTTGTGGGCACCGTTTGTCACTGTTATAGTGCAATTAATGTATTGTTTAGTGTTGTGTTGTGTAGTGGCTTGCTGGCATGCATCTAAAACAATTTTTTTTGTTTGCCCCACCAAGATTTACATGCTAAAATCGCCACTGGTCACAACATCCATACAGTGCCTCCGACCATATTTTCGGATCAAGTATAAATTGGCTCTTAATACGCGCTCCTCCGATCAGCGGCTCCGGAGACGTGCTCCGACCAGCAACTGTCGATCATGTGCGCGAGGGAAAATAGATCATGCTGCAGGCAGCATAGAGAAGAAAAAACATGCTTAGAACTGATAATTGATCACATGGTGCAAGAATGAATGCAAGTAATTGATTATTGAATGTTATGCGTGCTCTGGGCATTACTGACTCAAATGAACGAAATTATTCGAACGATTCGTTCTTTTGACTGAACGACTCGAAAAGATCAGAGTCAGTAAGAAGAGCCGATATTCCCATCACTACTTTTAATCAGCAGGTTTGTATGGGCCGGAGTTTCAGCTTTACATGGTGACATCACCATGCGGTAAATTTGTAAATAGACCAATAACATAGAAAATTCCAAACCTCTCTGCAAATAACAGCTAGTTTTCAGTGTTCCCTTCCCCACTCAGACTACTCCCAAACAGTCTAGCAAAATTCTTGCTTGAGAAATATATTTTTTGCTAAAAATCTATTTTTGCCCATTTTAATGTAGTTGCATGATTTGATATTGATATAACATTGATATAAAAACTTTGGTGCAGAATAAAAGCAGATCAGAGCAACTCCTGATTCTTGTCAGCTGATTCATGAGTACCTTTGCATTGGATTGCTATTATACGGTATTGCCACAAACAACGTTTTTGTAAATGCCCCCACATTGCAATCCATTCTGAAATGCAGTTAATTCGGTCATTTTAGAGTGATTCTCTTTTTACATTAATCTGACAAATTATTTTACAATATATATATATATTTTTTACTGGAAACAAACCTAAAGTCTATTCCGTCAATAGTGGTTAACTTGTCCGTTTTTCCAGTTTACACCTCTGTACATGTATAATACTGCAAGACATGTAGATATAGAGTTCAAAGGCTTCATTTATGGAAAATGATTCAGAGCATCATATCATTTCATTTGTTAAACAAGATAGAACATGCAAATAAGCAACTGAAAAAATTTTGGTTCTGAAGCCAGGGCCAATATTAGCCCTGCCCTTCCTACTCCATTTCCCTCCCTCCTTCTCTCCCTCCCTCCCTTTCTCCCTTCCCTTGCCAAACAGGATCTGTAGGATCTTTGTGAATAATTTTCTCAGGAGACAGGAATGCTTGAACACAAGCCTGCTGGGACATGCTCCCAACATTCCCTAAATCTCCCAGAAAAAAGCCCCTACTGAGGACGAAGTATTCACCTTTCTTTAGTTTTAAACCCAGGAGGGATAGGGATTCAAACCCCCCTAAACGCTGCCATGACTCAATCACCAAAAGGTATATAAATGTCCCCCTTTCTGCAAAGAATCAAGTGCTGAATGCCATAATGCTTCCATCTTGTGACTTGGTGTACGTGTACACTATAAAGGATGTAACCCAGACACACAGTGACTCACCACTGAAATTAAGCTGTCTGGAACGCTCCCTTGAATGTCTACAGAAGTAGTATTCACATGAGAATCTGACTTCTTTACTGAGACGTGGAAGTGACACATAACCAACCTTTCTGACCTTGTCTTCTTTAAAGCAAGGTCATAAAGCATACCTGTATTTGTAATTGTAAGTCAGTGGAACTTACATTTTTAAAAAGTATGTACAACAATCACAGTCATAGACTCCAGGGAGGTAATTGTATTGAATTGAATTTATATAATGCATTTGATCAGTTTTCAAAGCATTCCATATTTTTCAAAGTACATAATGTAAAAATTGCACACACAAAATGTTTTCATAAATCACCAGGTTGCTTTTCATACAAGAATATTGTTAGTTTAAGTTGTACGTTTTATTTAATAAAGCTACAACTTGTAATATCCAGTCACAAATAGGTTTTTCTTTTTGAGTTGTCCTTTTTGAGTTGTTTTCATACAAAAACATGAAGTTACTGTATTTAACAGATTTTTTTGTACAGTAGATTAGCACAGTAGATCATTTAGTAGACTGAAAATAGGATCCAGGTTCGTTAAAAACATACAGTATAAATACACAATCATGAAAGTTGTGGCATCTTCACCGCATGAAATATGACACATTTATTAAAATATAATGGCCATCTATTTCAGAGATAGATATGCTATTAAAAAGTCTGGGACAGAAATGAAGAGAAATAAAGACCACATCACTGCAACATTTTCTTGTTCCTTGAAATTGGACCAATAACCCCCCTTTCCACAAACAGGGCATAGACTCATAGAGATGCACTCAATGGTTCAACCATAGAGTAGGTAAGTATTCCTGCATTCCTGTTCTCTAGTCTACCCTCTCTCAATAACTGTGTTTCCTTGGTGCTTTCATTCGTTGAAAAGCATGGACCTGCTGTTGTTTTGCATAAAATGCTACTCAAAGTTAATTATTTCTCCAGGAAAGGTCTCTGTAGTTTTATTTGACTGACCAGAAGCTGGAGGTGGGAGTGGTGGTACTTGGATACTCTTTGGGAGCTCGGCTTGGGCTGTGGCTGGGGGAGTGAGTGACACTTGGGCTGCTGGGTGGTGAGGATGTAGACGAGGAGCACGAGGAGGATTTAGATTTGATCTCAAGCCACTTCTCTCCCAAGGCCTTGGCAAAGTGGTCATCCACAGAGACGCTGATGGAGAGCTGGCGGGAGCTGGCCCTTTGGTAGTTCCATCCCCAGGCTTCTCTTGAAATGCTCCTCCACCACATGGTCATAGCTGTGCTTAGATAACACTGCAATGGAGAGAACACCAAACAAAGGTCAGAGGCATAATTCTTAACAAGTCTGCAATATAACAACAGCATTGTAGCGCTACAGTTTTTATTGAGATAAAGGAGAATGATACTGACCTGTGGATGAGTGGCTGCTGTGGAACTCAGATCTGCAGGTGGGCTTTCTTGTGGAGGAGACACAGGTGATCACAGAAGGACGCATCTGAAAGAGGCAAAATAATTGGTACATTTCAAAAAGTGTTTAAACATTATAAGATTCTGTACAGAACAATGTCATCGAAATCCTCACTCCCCCCAGAACAATAGGATTAACATGTCAACGTAAACATAGCACATTTCGCCATCACTAACTTTTTCTTGAAGGTTCTATTTGAGTCTTGGAAAGAAAATGAATTTGGTTATAGGATGGGGCCTGAAAGCTGTTCACCCTCATCAGGTTGGCACAAACAGGTCAAAGAAAGAGATGTCTGTTTAGTCATGTTGAGGACATTCCTCCCACCATTGCTCACATTTTCTCCCCGAATCCGGCTGGATTGCATATCTTGGACAAGCAGAGGCCTGTAAAGGCTCTTGGGAATAGACTGTGCTTGAGTGTTTATAATCACCACAGAGATCTCAGAGATACACTATATATACAAAAGTATGTGGACACCCCTTCAGATTAGTGGATTCAGCTATTTCAGCCACACCTGTTGCTGACAGGTGTATAAAATCGAGCACACAGCCATGCAATCTCTATAGACAAACATTGGCAGTAGAATGGCCTTACTGAAGAGCTCAGTGACTTTCAACGTGGCACCGTCATAGGATGCCACCTTTCCAACAAGTCAGTTCGTCAAACATCTGCCCTGCTAGAGCTGCCCCGGTCCACTGTAAGTGCTGTTATTGTGAAGTGGGAACGTCTAGGAGCAACAATGGCTCAGCCGCAAAGTGGTAGGCCACACAAGCTCACAGAATGGGACCGTCAAGTGCTGAAGTGCGTAGCGTGTAAAAATAATCTGTCCTCGGTTGCAACACTCATGACCGAGTTCCAAACTGCCTCTGGAAGCAACGTCAGCACAATAACTGTTCGTCGGGAGCTTCATGAAATTGGTTTCCATGGCCGAGCAGCCGCACACAAGCCTAAGATCCCCATGTCATGCGCAATGCCAAGCGTCGGCTGGAGTAGTGAGCAAGGCACTTAACCCTAATTGCTCCTGTAAGTCGCTCTGGATAAGAGCGTCTGCTAAATGACCAAAAAAGAAATATAAAAAAATATTTAAAAAAGCTCCATGCCATTGGACTCGAGCAGTGGAAACGCGTTCTCTAGATTGATGGATCACGCTTCACCATCTGGCAGTCTGATGGACGAATCTGGGTTTGGCGGATGCCAGGAGAACATTACCTGCCAACGGTAAAGTTTGGTGGAGGAGGAATAATGGTCTGGGGCTGTTTTTCATGATTTGGGCTTGGCCACAGTTTCAGTGAAGGGAAATCTTAACGCTACAGTATACAATTACATTCTAGACGATTCTGTGCTTCCAACGTTGTGGCAAAAGTTTGGGGATGGCCCTATCATGTTTCAGCATGACAACGCCCCCATGCACAAAGCGAGGTCGATACAGAAATGGTTTGTCGAGATCGGTGTGGAAGAACTTAACTGGCCTGCACAGAGCCCTGACCTCAACCCCATCAAACACCTTTAGGTTTGAATTGGAACGCCGACTGCGAGCCAGGCCTAATCGCCCAACATCAATGCCCGTCCTCACTAATGATCTTGTGGCTGAATGGAAGCAAGTCCCCTCAGCAATGTTCCAACATCTAGTGGAACGCCTTCCCAGAAGAGTGGAGGCTGTTATAGCAGCAAAGGGGGGGCCAACTCCATATTAATGCCCATGATTTTGGAATGAGATGTTCGACGAGCAGGTGTCCACATACTTTTGGTCATGTAGTGTATGTAGGCTCTGACTGTCTAGGGCTACACTGAGAGATTACTGACACACATACATGACTGAGACAAACCAGAAAACCTATCCTTCATGTTGTTAGCACCTGGACCCACTATTATAATTGTTCCTCGTGAAATTACCTGTATCTGATTGGTGGCTGTAGTGCTTTTGGTTTTCTTCTCTGTCCTCTCAGGCTCTTTCCTTGGTTTCTTAATTAGGTCCAGTGGTTCATCCATAGGTGGTGTGGGATACACATGATGGGGCAGATGACCTGTGGGGCTGGGGGTTGGGCTCCAGGAGGATGTGGGGCTGGGTGTTGGGCTCCAGGAGGATGTGGGGCTCTGGGGAACACTAAACACAGCTGGCCTCTGAGCACTTCTCATGTTGCTTTTGCTCTGTGCCCTCTCTCGCCTGAAACACAAAATCACATGCTGAAACATGGAATCACACACTGGACATGGAGTTATAAAACCAGTGGTTGTTAATTATGATGTTATAGAGGGGGATTAAGGCATGGGCAGGTTTCACAAACCTTTCTTCCAATGTTAAGCCACGCTCAGAGCTGTGTTTGCGCTTGACTGGATGCACTGGTGGTACGCGAACTCTCTCATTGGTCATATGCCTGTATCTATCTTCACTTCTTAGGTTGGGCTGACCTACAAGAGGAAAGATCAAGCACATATAAAGCTAATGGTTACTATTTGAAATAATATACACTATACTTAGTGGCAAAGATATTGGCACAGATAAGGATGTCTTACACCTAACTAACCTACTGAAAAGACATTAGGTGTGGCAATGAGTAAATAGGTGACAGGTTGTTTTGATCCGTGGAACTGTGACATATGGTTTATCACCTGTATGAGTGGTTCGTGGCCGTGGGAAAGCTTTCATGCCACCGTTAATTTTAAACTCTGTTAAGCTGTGGAACTAGACATACCAGATTGGTGAGTGTTACAAATCTTCTTGATTCAATGTTAACGGTAAATTTTGTTTTTCTACATACAGTGATGACACCTATTTTATTTACATATCTAAGAGAGGAAGATTAGTTCAAAATGTGGATTGAGCTGGACAAACTTAACACTTCAATTTCTAATGCCTTGATTGAAGTATCTCTTATTTCTGAGAGAACGAATGTCTCACAACCGTCATTACAATACACACATCAAACAGAAGTGTTCTCCTCATTGTGAGAAACTAACAGAAACACATCAACAGTTGCTAACATTCTTTGTGTTATTTACATTACATTTTAGTCATTTACAGTGCCTTGCAAAAGTATTCATCCCCTTTGGCGTTTTTCCTATTTTGTTGCATTACAACCTGTAATTTAAATGGTTTTTATTTGGATTTCATGTATGGACATACACAAAATAGTCCAAATTGGTGAAGTGAAATGAAAAAAATTACTTGTTTCAAAAAATTCAAATAAATAAATAAAGGAAAAGTGGTGCATGCATATGTATTCACCCCCTTTGCTATGAAGCCCCTAAATAAGATCTGGTGCAATCTATTACCTTCAGAAGTCACATAATTAGTTAAATAAAGTCCATCTGTGTGCAATCTAAGTGTCACATGATCTGTCACATGATCTCAGTATATATACACCTGTTCTGAAAGGCCCCAAGAGTCTAAAAAACCACTAAGCAAGGGGCACCACCAAGCAAGCGGCACCATGAAGACCAAGGAGCTCTCCAAACAGGTCAGGGACAAAGTTGTGGAGAAGTACAGATCAGGGTTGGGTTATAAAAAATGATCAGAAACTTTGAACATCCCACGGAGCACCATTAAATCCATTGTTAAAAAATGGAAAGAATATGACACCACAACAAACCTGCCAAGAGAGGGCCCCCCACCAACACTCATGGACCAGGCAAGGAGGGCATTAATCAGTATCTGTCCATAGGACCACTTTAAGCCATACACTCCACAGAGCTTGGCTTTATGGAAGAGTGGCCAGAAAAAAGCCATTGCTTAAAGACAAAAATAAGCAAACATGTTTGGTGTTCGCCAAAGGGCATGTGGAAGACTCTCCAAACATATGGAAGAAGGTACTCTGGTCAGATGAGACTAAAATTGAGCTTTTTGGCCATCAAGGAAAACGCTATGTCATCACCCCGAGAACACCATCCCCACAGTGAAGCATGGTGGTGGCAGCATCATGCTGTGGGGTTGTTTTTCATCGGAAGGGACTGGGAAACTGGTCAGAATTGAAGGCATGATGGATGGCGCTAAATACAGGGAAATTCTTGAGGGAAACCTGTTTCAGTCTTCCAGAGATTTGAGACTGGGACGGAGGTTCCCCTTCCAGCAGGACAATGACCCTAAGCATACTGCTAAAGCAACACTTGAGTGGTTTAAGGGGAAACATTTAAATGTCTTGGAGTGGCCTAGTCAAAGCCCAGACCTCACTCCAATTGAATTTGTGGTATGACTTAAAGATTGCTGTACACCAGCGGAACCCATCCAACTTGAAGGAGCTGGAGCAGTTTTGCCTTGAAGAATGGCCAAAAATCCCAGTGGCTAGATGTGCCAAGCTTATAGAGACTTGCAGCTGTAATTGCTGCAATAGGTGGCTCTACAAAGTATTGACTTTGGGGGGGGGGGGTGAATAGTTATGCTGTTTTTTTGTCTTATTTCTTGCTTGTTTCACAATAAAAAATATTTTGCGTCTTCAAAGTGGTAGGCATGTTGTGTAAATCAAATGATACAAACCCCCAAAAAATCAATTTTAATTCCAGGTTGTAAGGCAACAAAATAGGAAAAATGCCAAGGGGGGTGAATACTTTTGCAAGCCACTGTAGCAGACTCTCTTATCCAGAGCGACTTACAGTTAGCGTATTCATCTTAAGATAGCTAGGTGGGACAACCACATATCACACTCCTAGTAAGTACATTTTTCCTTAATAATGTAGCTGTCAGATGTAATAAGGGGGGGGGGGGGGGGGAACTGGGGAGGAGGTGAGGAGGGGGTGCAAGGGGAAGTGCTGTGGGATTATTTAAGAGACTCTTTGAAGAGGAAGGGTCAAGATGTTTTCGGAAGATGGGCTGTCCTAGCTTCAGAGGGAAGCTGGTTCCACCATTGGGTTGCCAGGACAGAGAAGAGCTTGGACTGGGCTGAGCAGGAGCTGCCCTCCCGTAGGGGTGGGAGGGCCAAGAGACCAGAGGTGGCAGAATGTGAAGTTTACCAATACAGTACACTGGCATTTGTTTTTTGTAAAGCTAACACCAGCCTTCTTCACACCTCACATTATGTTGTTTCTTTCAAGCTTGAACTATATTCAAATTGGCATTGTCAATATACCAAAAGACATGCACCACATTAGCATGCAATGCTCTACTACCCCATTGAGATGCAATGCTGAATGATTAGGTCATGTTATTACATGAATGGTCCCCCTAATCTCAAATACTCCCCCTATCCACAATCGTCATTCCAATCCACATCTCAAACAGTCATGTCCCTCAACCCCAACCTCTCACCTATGACCTCCCATTCTGTCCCTCAGACAGCATAGTGCCACAGTGGAGGCCTGTGGAGGGTGACTGGGAAAAAACCACACCTTGCCTGACTGACGTTCTGATGCCCGAGGCATGGTTATTTGTTCCCTATCAGTAGAGGAAACAAGAGGGCAGTATCTTCAGATCCTCTCCATCTGCCACAGTTATTCCCATCATCTGACATAAACCTCTCTGAAATAATGCTTGAGAGCCAGACATTTAGAAGCAAGTTGATATTTTACCAATGGAGGGACTCATTTATAGTTGCTGACTATTCTTAAATGTTGTTATAGCCTTAAGTGGATATAGTGAGGTATTATCACATTCGTCAAAGTTATCTTAAACATTTAAAAGTAAAAATATGTATTGGTTTCTTAAATGATATTGTTAAAATTGCTTTAGAGTGGATTACATTTTGTTTTTATATAATTCAAACAATTACCTCAAATATACTCATTGACATTTACTCGGACTTAGTAAAAGTTATTTTATAATGATCCTAAACATTTGCATTTCTAATAACATTATTTGAACTAGCTAAGCTAATTACTAAGTAATAACGATCTAATAACTGTGTCATCATACATGATAACAATGCATGTTGCAGCAATAAATACTACTATTTAAAGTAGCAGGGATCACAACGGCACAATTCTATTTTGTGAAACAATAGGCCTATAAGAAAATAAATAAGAAATATTACCTTCCAAGATGTAGACTTTGAAACCACTGCTCATCCGAGTTATGTAGTGGAAGTTTGCAACAGCCATGTCTCCTTGTCTTTGTCTGTGAATAAAGCAAACTGCAGAGGACCACCTTGACTGTTCGAGCTAAAAGGACACAATGAGCCTAAGTTCTGTTTGGAAATGGAAAGTTAATGAGATGCTGGGCTTGATCTTGGCCAGGTAACGTATCAGGAGGCTGCACAGAGCTGCTGTGTCTTCCAGGAAACCCTATTCCTGCAATGTCATTGGTCGCTCTCAAGCCAATCACAATCTCCCCCCTTTTAGATGTTTCTGTTATTGTTGCAGGAAGAGTGGGTTCACAGGTAGATACTTCAGAGGAAAAATACCATTAAACTGTTCCCTGAATGTCCCTGCACCACACAACCATACATTTACCTCACATTCAAGAAGTCTATGTCAGGCATAAACAGGAATGTAACATAGATTACTCTACGTTCATTTCAACGGAGACTCAAAACAAGAAAACACTGATAATGTCACAAAGCACTTTATTCCATGTTTTGCACTTCTCCCAGAATCCACTGGGAACTCCAGGTGTATCTTTTGTCTCCCCTCTCTGGAAGTCAGCACCTGTCCTCTGCCCTTCCCTCGCTCCTAATCTACAATCTCACCAAGCTGCATTTTTTCGAGTGTTTAGCCCACCGGAGCTCCAGTCATTCCACTGACCTGCCCATACACGCACACAGCTGTACTGTGAGCCAGCCTCACCATTAATGAAAAAGGCTTTTGTTGATGGCCAGACAAAGGCCCCTAAATCCTGGAAATGCTACTGCCCTGAGAAACAATCTTGCCTGAGCATGCTGAAGAGTCTGGACACACATGAGCACACCCTCAGCACACGTGACCACAACAACACTCATGACCTGACACATTTACAGGCACTTATACAAAATACATTTAAAAATTACAACATTTAGAATGTGTATTGACCGATATGCTTTTGAAGGACTGGAGGGACTTATTTATAGTTGCTGACTATTCTTAAAATGTGGTTATAGACTACTTTTTTATATTCATTTTCTTTTTTTGTGTGACACAGCTCTGTGAAAGCGCTCAACAAAAATGGAGACTACTCCTGTCAAGCAAGTCAAGCTCAACAGTGACCCCTTGGGGTGTGTGTGTACTGGCATTTCTAACATTTTATTCATAGGATTTTGTTGATTATGATGCATCTAAACTTCATGAATAGGGGAGAGTGGGGTAAGTTGAGCCAAAGATGGTAAGTTGAGCCAAAGGGGTAAGTTGAGCCACCCTCATTTCTAGGAAACCATACACACAATTAATAATTTCATCAAATATTTAGGAAGAGGTTATAATTTCATGGAGTCTGTGAAGGAAGAAAAAATCAAATGACTTTCACAAAGTCAAATTAATTTATTGTGTTAGAAGTTTCATGATGCTTGTGTCTAAATCAAAGTCGATCCCTTTAAGATTGTTCTATACATCAGTTGGGGTCTTTATGAGGTACTAAACCTAGCCTGAAAGTGCATCCTTATAGCTGTGTGGGCTAATATAGTCAAAATCTTTGCCTTGGGGTAAGTTGAGCCAATTGTTGAGCCAATGGAAAGTTTAGCAAATGGAACTGTTTTCTTCCCAGGTGTATATGCAAGGAATTATTGCTGGGATATTAGGTAACAACAGGGCCTGGCCTGTTAAAAGTGTTTTAAAAATAAGTGTTTGTTAGGTGTTGGGCCTGTGTTCAAATATACTTTAAATGATTTTAAAAAACTAAAAAGCGATTGTGATTGTATTGAATTGTGTTTGGGAAATAAAGATAGACATGGTTTTAAAAGGTAGTGGTAATATTTCATTTAGTACAGAAATGTGTAGGTGTGTTAACTTACCCTGTCCCTCAGCTCAACTTACCCAAGACAGCACTTTTTTTAACAAGCTATGTTTTCAAAACTGTAATGTTAACATAAATACTGATTATTTCCAGGGATACATAACATCCTGAAACATATGTAGATATCTTTCTTAGAAAGAATACTGTATATCCCTTGACAGAGTGATGCTGAATGTCCCCTACTGATGGTGCAGAGTAAAACTTACATTCCTTCATTTTATTTAACCAGGCAAGTCAGTTAAGAACAAGTTCTTATTTACAATGACGGCCTACACCGGCCAAACCCAGACGATGCTGGGCTAATTGTGCGCTGCCCTATGGGACTCCCGATCACGGCCGGTTGTGATACAACCTTGAATCGAACCAGGGGGTCTGTAGTGACACCTCAAGCACTGAGATGCAGTGCCTTAGACCGCTGCGCCACTCGGGAGCCCAGGAATACATGTACCATGGTAGTACAATGTTAAAAAGACCATGGTACTATAATGTTTTTTTGGTCACTACTGATTTTTTTTTTGTTGTTTATGAATTCGAAGGACCAATAAAAAGGGATAAAAAACGTATGTGGATTTTAGGCCAGTAACAACCACCACAGGGTGTCCGTTCAGAAAAAAACAAAGCAGTAGTTCCAGTTCAAGGGTTTAATGAAGATCCACACACACACATACAACGCCACTCTCTCTGATACTAATTGTGGTTCTGTAAAGAAAAGGGGAGAACTTAGGCTATAGCACAGTACGGAAAAATATGCCTATTTGCATGTCAACAAACTAAACTGGCTATGTGGACCCAAACACATGCTAGATGCACAAATAGAAAATAGAGCAATGTAGAAATATCTACACATTATAAAACATAACAAGCATGCACAATCTACAACCGAAAGTAACCTAGCACTACAGAGAAATGCTAACAAATGCTAATCGCTAATAAGCATGCTAAATACAGTGCATTCGGAAACTATTCAGACCCTTTTTTCCACATTACTCTCCTTACTCTAAAATGGATTAAATTGTTGTTGTTTTTCTCATCAATCTACACACAATACCCCATAATGACAAACCAAAAACAGGTTTTTAGAAATTTTTGCAAATGGATCAAATAAACAACTGAAATATCACATTTACATAAGTATTCAGACCCTTTTCTCAGTACTTTGTTGAAGTACCTTTGGCAGTGATTACAGCCTGAAGTATTCTTGGATATGATGCTACAAGCTTAGCACACCTGTACTTGGGGAGTTTCTCCCATTCTTCTCTGCAGATCCTCTCAAGCTCAGTCAGGTTGGATGGGGAGCGTCGCTGCACAGCTATTTTCAGGTCTCTCCAGAGATGTTTGCTCGGGTTCAAGTCCGGGCTCTGGCTGGGCCACTCAAGGACATTCAGAGACTTGTCCCGAAGCCACTCCTGTGTTGTCTTGGCTGTGTGCTTAGGGTCGTTGTCCTGTTGGAAGGTAAACCTTTGCCCCAGTCTGAGGTCCCGAGAGCTCTGGAGCAGGCTTTCATCAAGGATCTCTCTGTACTTTGCTCTGTTAATCTTACCCTCAATCCTGACTAGTCTCCCAGTCTCTGCCGCTGAAAAACATCCCCACAGCATGATGCTGCCACCACCATGCTTCACCGTAGGGATTTTGGCAAACTCCAAGTGGGCTGTCATGTGCCTTTTACTGAGGAGTGGCTTTCGTCTGGCCACTCTACCATAAAGGCCTTATTGGTGGAGTGCTGCAGAGATGGTTGTACTTCTGGAAGGTTCTCCCATCTCCCCAGAGGAACTCTGGAGCTCTGTCAGAGTGACCATCGGGTTCTTGGTCACCTCCCTGACCAAGGCCCTTCTCCCCCAATTGCTCTGTTTGGCCGGGCGGCCAGCTCTAGGAAGAGTCTTGGTGGTTCCAAACTTCTTCCATTTAAGAATGATGGAGGCTACTGTGTTCTTGGGGACCTTCAATGCTGCAGAAATGTTTTGGTACTCTTCCCCAGATCTCTGCCTTGACACAATCCTGTCTCGGAGCTCTACAGACAATTCCTTCGACCTTATGGCTTGGTTTTTGCTCTGACATGCACTGTCAACTGTGGGACCTTATGTAGACAGATGTGCGCCTTTCCAAATGATGTCCAATCAATTGAATTTACCACAGGTGGACTCCAATCAAGTAGAAACATCTCAAGGATGATCAATGGAAACAGGATGCACCTGAGCTCAATTTCGAGTCTCATAGCAAAGGGTCTGAATACTTATGTAAATAAGGTATTTCTGTTTTTCATTTTTGATACATTTGCAAAAAAAATCGAAAAACCTGTTTTCGCTTTGTCATTATGAGGTATTGTGTGTAGATTGACGAGGAAAACAATTAATTTAATCCATTTTAGAATAACGCTGCAATGTAACAAAATGTGGAAAAAGGGAAGGGGTCTGAATACTTTCCGAATGCACTGACAATGCTAATGCTAGCGGGAGTACGAGACTAGCTAGCTAGCAAGTTTAACACAAATGGTACATATTTACAACAGACACTATTTAGCGGCAAACAACAAGACAAGCCAGCTAGGGGTAAGTCGCTTCTTGAGGAAGGTCTGGCAGCTGGATGAATCGAGCAACAGACCTGACGTAGGTTCTGTCCTTGACTTGGATCTCTGCTGTCCTCACTTTCCCGTGTGCTCCAGGGATAACTGACTTGACAGTTCCAACTTGCCAGAGTGCCCTAGGAGACTGATTGTCCATGATCATCACAACGGTCCCAACTACAAGGTCTTCCTTATCCTTGTGTCAATTCTGGTGGCTTTGAAATGCAGGTAAGTAATTCTATGAGATGCAGTGCCAGAAATGGTTGGCTGGAACCAGATTCTGGGTAGGCCACCTGTGGTAGTAACGAGTCTGGCCGCCCCATGAGAAAAGAGTTAGGAGTGATTGGATCCGGATCCGCGATGTCCGAAGACACATATCCCAAGGGTTTGGAGTTCAAGATCCCTTCTATTTCAATTAGGACAGTCCTCAGCACCTCTTCGGAAATGGTCTCCGTGCCAAGGATGGTTTGCAGGGCAGTCTCGATGAATCTGAGCTCCCTCTCCCAGCATCCTCCAAAGTGTGGCGGACTTGGTGGGTTGAAGGCGAAGCGAATCTTCTGACTGGCTATCTGTTCCTGGATCTGTGGGTGGAGAGCCATGAATGCCTCCTGTAGCTCTCGCTCCCCTCCCTTGAAATGTGTTCCTTGATCGGACAGGATCTCAAAGGGCTTTCCTCTTCGAGCGATGAAGCGTCTCAACGCCATTAGGAATGAATTGGAATCCATGTTCATCAGTAGATCCACGTGTACGGCCCAGGTGATCA